CGTAAGCATAGTAAACATAGAACAATATAGAATAATATAAAATAATATAGAATAATATAAAATAATATAGAATAATATAGAATAATATAGAACAATATATAATAATACAAAAAACATAGTCAAAGTTTTAAGAATACCAAACAATAAGGAACATACCCATGCCACGGAATTTTTCTAAAACTTTAGGCTTCGGAACTTGAGCACCATTTGATTTATGATTTAAACCACCCAAACCACCGCCACCAGCCCATAATTGCCAAGATTGACCGGGAGTATATAAAGGGGGAGGAAGTCTAGGATCAAGACGAGAATTCATGTAATAAAATGCCGGATAGTCAGGATCTAAGCGTGGATCGGAAGGTGATGGATTATCTAGTTCTGAAGGATCAAACCGACCAAGCTGATCTACCACTTGAGTTGGCGGAGCACTATTAGAACGACTAATATCTTGCCGTGTGCTTCCAAAAATATCATAATCGTAATCATGTTTATCCCTCAAAAGCGCAGCCACTTGCTATAATCCGATATTGAATATAGTTGAATAAAGTTGAATAAAGTAAGAAAGAATTAAATGTTTTAATAATGTATACAATAATATTTAGTCATATAATAATTCTCAATAGTATGAAAAGATCAGATCAAGATCGACGAAAGAAAATGAACCAAATTATAACTAAGGTAGTCTTTTGATAGTAAAGTTATTTCTTACCTGTCCTTGTAGTTTATTATTAGCTTTTGGTTGAGGAAGGTCAGTTTTGTTTTTGGACGCTTCGTCCATAATATTACGAGGAATCATCTTTTTTAAAGAGAAGAGTTAAATTTTTTTTTTAAAAGTAGCAAAGTATATATTAAAGGTAATTAAGTTTCTTTAAAATAAAATGTTTTTTTTTTGTTTTTTTGCTTTTTTTTTTTTTGTTTAATAATGCGAGAGCCTTTTTTTTTACGCACGCAGTTAAAAGATAAGAAAAAAAGAAATCGCGTGAGACTTGTACAACTTTTTTTTTTTTAACTGCGATGAAAGAAAAAAAAAATACACAAGTAAAAAAATAGAAAAAGAGACGAATAATTAAAAAGAAAAAAGGTCTAGAGAGAAATAAAAGTTTCAAGTAAAAGAAAAATAAATCTAAAGAGAAATATGAACAAGACTTTTGTACAATTTTTACACTTGAGAGAGGACCCTCAGATGAGGAGTTTAGAGTGTATATACTTGCAAATGAGAAACGAAGGCAAAATGATGCAAAGAAAGAGGGAATCGAGGTAAAGAAAAGAAAGTGAAATAAAGATATCGATTATATGGTAGTATAAGGAAAGCAAGTAAAGGGCATCGTTTCTCTTGCGTCGAAAGGGGATAGTTGTTAAACCTTTAAGCAGAAGGTTTTGAAAAGAAGTAAAATTTACAAGGGTAATATAGATCAAAATTACCCAATCTATATTGAGGGTTACAAAAAACTCCGTTGTTTGTCAGTTGCGTTGTAACACTCTTCCCAATAATAATAATATATCAATATGTATATACATATAGATAATATATATATAAGCTTATAATATATATATATTATTATTATTATTATTATTTTAACTAACAAAAAGTCAGCAAGCACACAAAACTGCATAAATATTCTTTTTAACTCAGCCACCGTCAGGAGATTACAACACTTATATTAGCGAGGAAAGTGATACCAACATTGATATTTAGGTATATAACATAATATAAATAGAATGATCAATTTTCAGAATCGAAAAGAATATAGATAGAGAAATCAAAGCAAAAAAACCAGAATTCAATAAATAATAATTAAAAAAAATGTTTAGACAACATCTAGTTGTTTGTTTATTATCTAAGGTCACAAGATCACAACAAAAGGAATATACATAAGTAATATAAGTAATAAGGGTTACGGAGGAATCATGAGATATGATAGAGAATGGAGTAAGATGTTATAAGATGTTAATATTAATTAATTATATAACATAAAATTAAATACGTACGTACACGTTCGTTTCATTTATTTGTAGAAAGAAAGGAAAAAATAAGATCTCATGGTTTACAAATGATTACCACTCCCGAAATGAAAAGCAGATAGTGAGGGTTAACACTCCGATTTACCAAAACATGGAAATCAGTGTAAGTTACCCAATGAGGATGGTTTAAGTACGCACTGTACGTACGTATGTACGCACTGTACGTACGTATGTACGTACATACGTATGTACGTGCGTACGTAACTATAACCATGTACAATAAGTAATAGTTATAAACATTATAATAATATACGTATATAATAAATACATATCAGATATGGTTTAACCCTAACAGAAAATGAAGACTATGGGTATATACGTAACAGATAATGAAAACTATATATGTACCTATAACGGATAATGAAGATTATACGTATACGTATATACAGTATTCGTAAGATAATAATAGATAATAGATAATAATAGATAATAATCGATAATAATAGATAATAATGAAAACTATATATACAGTATATATGATAGATAATGATAATTATATATCAGCATAACAGATAAAGATAATTAAATATACCGATAATATCGATATATAATAAACATAACGTATATAGTAAGCATATGCGTAGTAAATATATGATAAAAGAATAACGTACGTATACGTATAACTAATTTAATTATTATTATAATTATTATAATTGGATATTATTATAATTATTATTATAATAATTATTATAATTATTATTATAATTATTATTATAATTATTATTAAAATTAAAAATTCAATATAAATGACCGTTTGTATCAACAGCATTTCCCGCCCAATTTTTCCAAACTAATATATTTTTTTTTAACCAATCATTTATGGACAAATAGATCGTAAAAAGAAAGGATATATATGGTTAGAAAGATTAGACATACGCCATCGTTTTTCAGCGAGGTCAGGTATATTTAAAGTTATCATGAAAGCTCCGTTGGGAAAATTATAAATGGGCGTTCGTTGATCACAATAATAAACAAACAGTTTTCGTTGCATGTTATTGGGATGTTTAGAACGTGATACAAATAATACAAATGATACAAATTATTAATATACGCGCCTTTTGCCAATTGCAACCGTGCTAGTCCGATGTTTTAAGCATTTTTAGTCGGTACTTCCAAAACATTCTAATATGTTAATCAATTGACTATTAATATCGTAAACATTCGAAAATGTTAATCAATTGCACATTGATGTTAACATTGATGTGGTATGTTTTGGTTTTGTTAAACCAATTTTGTAAATTTAAAAGGACAAATGATTTTCTTTAATCAACCAGCCCTTATTTATTTAGATCCACTTATTTAGATCCACTTATTTAGATCCACTTATTTAGATTCGCTTATTTAGATTCGCTTATTTCTATTCGCTTATTTCGATTCGCTTATTTCGATTCGCTAATTTCGATTCGCTAATTTCGATTCGCTTATTTCGATTCGCTTACTTCGATTCGATTCACTAGATCACTAACACCAATAATTAATACACTACACTAATAACTCATACGCGTATCAATAATAATATTTAAACATTTTTTTTAAGATATAGATTCGAAAAACATTACACAAAATTAATTTCCCACACACTCATTTAATTTACCTGAATTCTTGTTATAATAACAAGTAAAAACTAGTCTCTATACAGTGCGCCGTTTTGCATATATTTGTATTTTGGTGTATGGAATTCGGTGCTTATTTGACGATGATTTGGTGTGATCGACTGATAAGTAAAAGATTCATCTAATATATCGATATATCTAAATATCTATCGCCATTATTGCATAACGATATGTAAAGATTCATCTACTTTTTTCATCATCATACGTATCATTTTTTTTAGATTATCTTGTTAGTGGCTGATAATATACATTGTCCAATCATGTGTTTTAAAACTTGGCGCTGAATTACTACGTACGTACGTACATTACGTATTCGCTACGTGGTACTATGCTATATGTAAGTTTTCATTATGATTAAGAAAATCCAAATTTTATTACGTATCGGACTTAGCCCCTGAAAAATCTGATCAATGACATTAATACCATTAATACCATTAATACAGTACATAACAATGATTAATTTAAGTACGTACGTATGGACACATGTACGTACGTACGTATCATATGTTCGTATGTTGATCAAAGTTTTTCAGTAGTAGAAATAAAAAAATTTTTGATTTTACTCTCATATTTTGTATTCTGATTATATCTTTTGCTACTAATGA